CAACCAACAACAACAATAGCGATGGCTGGCGCGGCCGAAGTCGCCTCTTGGCTTGCCGGCACACCCGTCTCGGTTCCCACGCAGTGGTAGTGCCATACAGGGCCGCAGTAAGGAGCCACTGCAGCCTGACTCTTAGACCATCAGTCGGCTGTTCCGCAAAAACACACGCCGACCCGACTGAGAGGTCCATGTTATCCCATCAGCCAGCAACCTTCCGAGCCACGGATTTTAGCTCGCTGTGATAGTTCCAGGCTCGGATCACACAGGCAGCAGATGAGTCACATGGAGAAGAAGCCGAGGAACACACTTCACACCTTCGCGAGAGGCGCCACTGTTGTGGGATTTTAAAGGGTTATATGTGTTGTTCGCGCGGTTGTGGAGGAATGTGTGACGATGTGGCCGTGTCTGCGCTGATTTAACGCAAGTTCCCGTGAAAGCGCATGTGGCTGAGAAGGCCCACGCAGCTGCTGAACGTGCAAGCTCAATGCGGGCAGTTGGGGCGAGTGCATCTGGTATATATTCCTGTTGCAGGCACTGGTTCGCCAGTCTCCATGCGATGGGTCCGCAGGAGACCGACCAGGCCGATGCGTAGGGTGAATGTACGGCAATAGCGCGGGCAAGATGGGTCGGGAGCTGCAGAATCGGTTTCGGTGGTGGTGGTGGTGGTGGTGGTGGTGGTGGTGGTGGTGGTGATTGTGGTGCTGCTGCCGCTGTTAGTCGTGGGCGCACTTGGTGATCAGGAAGTGATTAGGCAGGGGATGTTATGTGCAAGGTCTGCTAGATGTATCAATACTGCGGTGTATTCCGCTGTCATGGATATGCATGTGACCGAATTGGCCCGTGCGGTGGATGAGTGTGAGCGGAATGTGACGACAGTGAAGGCGGATGCCGGCCCGCGTCACATGTAAATATATGCGTACTATATGTAATTGGGCAACGGTTCATAGCTCGCCCTAGTACATTAATCGGTGTTGCCGGGTCGTGCGTGGCACGCGCAGACGGCCCCGCAATGGGCATTCGCACTCATTGCTCGGGAATCAGGTTGTGTGTGGTACGCGTAGACGCGCCTGCGCCCGTCCCACGTCGTCCTCACCCCGTCTTGTCACCAAAATCACGTGAGTGGCGGAGGATGAGTGCAATAGATGCTGTGCAAGTTTACCCCATTATGACGCTTGGTGGACGTCGTCATTGGCTATAGTCAAACTGCCGTGCAGGTGACTGACGGTACGGCCATCTGTACTCATGCGCACGGTTACGTCTCACAACTTTCGCAGTGGCCGGTTCAGTCGGTGTCAGAGCACATGTAGAAGACCTTCAACAATTGTCGTCTGATTGTTCTTCCATCTCCAAACACTACAGGCCCATTGAGGAAAGCAAGGGAATCCCAAGAAGTAGTTCAGAAGAAGATGTGACCACAGGAACAAGACGTTTATTAGCCAGACTTTTCGGATTCGTATCAGAGACAGGCCGACAAGGGTAGTGGAGGCACAAAGACTGTAGTATTTGTAGTACGTAGCTATCGTGGGACCGCATGCGTAATATAATTAATAGCACTTCTCGCAACCACCGCTGGGGGTCGTACGTGAGGCGATGATGACTCGTTAGTCCGCGTCCGAGTCGCTAACTGCCGCAGTCTCATTATCCGTGTTGGGTGTTGGCGTGATGATTACTCGGCCTTTTGGTCCACTGTCACCGGGATTTATGTCTCGCCCGCGCACACGTGGTTGATTCCCCTGCCCACGGAATGTCTCAGCACCTAATATGGTAACGGGGGGTCATGGCACCTGTTGAAGGACTGCAGACCTAAGAACCACGATTCGGGCAGCTCGCTGCCCATGCGGTTGTAATTTCCTGCTAGATTGACGGCCTCTTGAAGCTTGAAAATATGACCGGGTGCCGTGAGGTGAGCCGCCAACTGAGAGTCAGAGTCTCCCTGCCTCACTACTGCTGCGTGCTCGGCCATCCGTGTCTTAAGTAACCTCTCAGATTATCCGATGTAGTTGCCCTAATCCGTAACTGCACCAGATCCGGTAGACGACTTCAGACGTTTCCTGCCGTGGCGGTGGGTCTTCCAGCCTCATAACGTGGCGCCTGATGATTGCTTCCGGCCTGTGTGCAACCTTAACTTCAAGTTGGATGAGAATGCGGCTGACGGCGTCCGAGACTTTCTTCATCTATGGATGAGATCGTCAAAGTTTAAGGTCGGTCGGATTTGGTCTCCGGTATTCTTTACGTATGCACTGGTTGACAAAGTCGCACGGATAAACGGCAGCTCTCAATAGCCGTCGAAGATACTCTACTTCAATAACCTTGTCTTCCGTTTCACTTACGCCAGTATAGCGCCCTTACGCAGCAGCGTTTGTGACCGATCTGGTGGTTACTGTTGAAATTCAGTACTCGCGTCGTGGTTGTCGCTTTCCTGCAAACTTTAGTTTTCAGGCCGCCGCAATCTTTGTGGCAAACGGGGACATCCAGAAAGGCCAGCTGGTTGTTTTCCTCCTCTTCCTCCACCTCCTCCTCCTCCTCCGGGAAGACGGCGTTGAGGGCTTTTCCGAGTGTCAGCACCGAAGCCTGTTCAATGACGACAGAGGTTTCGTCCACATACCGAGTCCAAAATTTCGGTCTTTGGTGCTGGAAAACCAACGACTCCAACCGTTTTAGGCCAATAAACTTCTTGTTCCAGTGACCGCATCTTCTTCCTCTTCTTCGAACAGAGGCGACCATGCGATGAAGGGCAGGCCAAACGAGGCACTTTGTCGCTAAGCAAACGCCCTCGTTTTTGCGGTGTTTTAGACAGAAGGACACATATCGCAGTTGAGGATATAGACCTGTAGGACATCAACGTCGACCAGCCCTATTCAATCTACGCAGAATCCCTAGCAGTGCAATTTGACCACGAGTATTGATTAAATTCAAGAGAACATGGAAACACTAGCAACACTACAGACCTTCCGGAGGATACTTCTGTAGATTAAGTATGGTACTTGCTGTGCGTCCAAGGGGCCATAAAACCGTCTTCAACTGGAGGCGTGGGATCGTCGCCGGGTGAACACCGAGTCCATTAGGGTAGTCCTTGAAAGCGTGGAAAAGCCCCAAGGGATCCCTTCTCAAGGAAGCGACATAGGTGGCCAGCCCCATAGTTTAGTCGGACAGACTTAATGTAACATGCTCAAAAACCGTCCCGACACGACAGATTTTGCAAACTTCAACTGTTTGTCTGTCGCTACCAGGGTTTTCGACGTATAAGGCACATTTGCGAACCGTTAACAACGCACAGCTAGTTAGGATGAGCGTAGTTAGAGCATTTGGAGGCCCTAGTGTCAAACGAAGCCAACTGTTCTTTCTGGCCCGGTAAGTACGCATACAGCGAGGCTACAGAGAAACCCGTCTCGGTTTTATTAGCTGAGCTGACCGAGGAATGCTTTCTGGCATCGCAGACGATTGAAACCTCTCTCAGTTCTCATGTCCTGTTCTGTCAATGCCGGTTTCGATAAGTTCTCACTAAACATATTTTCTGACGGCCCAGTGCTCTAAATTCTGGGACAGGGGCGGCCGGAACGGGCGATTTATGATCCGCAATCCAGACTAGTGTCCGTTGGTGTTCAATTCTCGGGGGCAGCAGCCGATTGTCGTCTAAGCCACCAGGCCGGCACCGCGATGGCGTTCCTCAAACCGACCCGCACTTCGGAACAGATAAGTGCCCACGGTGAAATAGTTGCTCGTCACGGCGTCCTCCAGACGGTCGACTGTTCCATTATACTGGGGTGCCCGCCTCCTTCCTGTGCTCGAGAGATCGGTGCGCGCAACTGCATTACGAAAGAACAACCCCGACGTTAGCTGACATGATGTGAGATCACAGCGCCGTAGCCAAGACGTCGCACGGCTGACACCTTCGGTGCGGTAGCACTTACGATGATGGTAAATAAGCCCGAGACCATCACCGCGTTAACCTTCGCCGGTAACATTTCTTGGAATGATGACCATGGAGTCCGTCCGAGGCACAGATACAGCCGCGCTACGAAGGGCGTTTGGCTCCCCAACCAAGAGAGCAACAGAGGCTTGCGGGACCTTGCTAGATGGGGAGCACGCACTTCAGCAACATCGCCACACCTAATGGCCATCTCATTCACCAAAGACGTGTAACGATTGCCTGTTTCGCATACGAAAGTCAGCTCGTCTCGTGAAAGATCCCCAAGGAAGACACCTTAACTAGGTGGAATCCGCCTCCGGTCAAATTGACGAGTTCTACAGTCTTGAGGCCCTAGTTTCCTACGGGATGATGGCCCCACTTGCCGGGAGCCAATTTTTAGGCGACAGAGTAAACGAAACTTGCAGAGCTCTACTCCATCGAATCGCAAATGTGGACGATTTTGACGACTGGCGGAACACTCGGTAGTCCCGTGTGATTGGTCAGAAACCATCTGAATAAACTGAACAGAAAGACAGTCACTTCACCGTACACAGAGGGGTCAAAGGGTAGGTTGCTAGGGACGTGATCCCCTCTTCCGAGAACGAAAAGGCATGAGTAACTGTAAAAGCACATCCCGAGTGAACTCGTAGATGGACACGCGCAGTTCCGACAGTCAAAATACAGGAGATAAGGAAGACTGTGTGATGGAAGCTTTAATGATTTCGACCTTCCCACTCAATCAGTAACAAAATTGGCCTCAAATCCATGTGAATACTCGCACAAGCCGGACATAATGACTGAAAACAGTTGTCACGAGAGCATAATATGCGCACGAGTGCAGGTGTGTATACAACTGTGCGCGCAGACATTATAGCCAGCGCATGCGACTGGGTGGTGAAGGTTAGATCAGGAAATTACCGGGCAACCGAGAGAATCCTCCCGCAAAAGATTGACACGTATGTAAACAATGAGGATGAAGTTGGACTGAGTAGAGGTAAAAGGAGAGCGGACATGATTGCTGAGACGCTTTATTTCACTGTACACCGAAAAGAGCCTCCTCAGGACTGTGAGCAGAAACAGCGCTCGGGATTTACAACTCTTCCTTGGCAGGCTTAGAGGGCTCCTCCTCCTTGCCCTCTTCTTCTTTGCCACCGGCTTCGAGGAATTTCTTGAAGGCCTCGAGTGTTCGATCTCCCGCGTAGTCCACGACCTGTGGGAGGACGGGAAAGGTGTTTTTATTAGAACAATAGAAGAGATTGATCATACGTCAATTCTAATGATAGCGGAATGTAGGTGGAAGACCCTGTTGAAGCTGCAGTGTTTTGTACCGGTGCTTGTATTCTTTACGGCTGTGAGCGTGTCAGATGAAGTTGACTCAAGGTATGCCGCGAGCACAGACTCAACGCGCACAACGATCTTTGGCAACGGACTCCACTGAACTGAACCATCTTCGTCAGCAACGATAGGAATAATGAAAGTGCAAGAACGGTCGAGGTCCCCCCCCCTTACCTCCTTCAGTTTGGCATCGCTAGACGTAAGTCGGAGCAGCAGCACCAAACTCATGAAGGTGACGATAAACATGCTCAACACCCCTAAATTATCTTTTTGGGTGACGTTGGGGTGGAGAAAGTTGAAAAGCTTATTCAAGTCCGAGTCCGTGTGCTTTTTTCGGAAGACCGTCATGAAGCAACAACAGTAGATGACAATTGATGTTCACTGGCCTAGGTTTGCGACCTGGCATTCACAACCACAGGAATGACCGAGTGTCGGATACATGCGCATCTACAGATGTCTTAGAATGTCCACAAAAAACGGGAAGTGGACTGGGGCAGAAAATCCGTCCCTACTATTTGCTAACAACGTCTCCCGACTGGCAGCAAGCAACTACTAAAACGCCTTCTGGTCAGAAGAATAACCCAATAATATTTGGGATTTGCAGCACTGGTTGGTACATAGGTCGATCCGCTTCGTTCGGAACCCTATCTTTCGCAGGCCGTCGTAACTTAATGCTGGAAAAACGATATTATAAGCATAAATGAAACTAGTAGGAAGATTTTGGTGCAAATTCAGCACTATTGAAGCAAAGCGGAGCATTTCGGATAATTGAATCAATAGTTCAGTTAAAAAGGATGCGTGCAGGATGGATTTTCGTCTAACGCCTGGTCGAATACTGAACAGCTATGAGGCTCCTGTGGACAGAAAGAGCGAAACTGTCGGCACACAGTATATTAACATCATCCACGACAGGGACTCCCGACGAATTGAATCAAAATCCGCAGAAAGTAAAGGAAACAGCGGACCGTCGGTTGTCGACGGTCATAAGAGAATGCCTGTATGGAGAAAAGCCTGGACAACTAGGAAGTCCGTTTTGTTGGTGTTGCTCTCATAACTCCCTTCCGGAATGCCTTGAGAATGAAAACCGCATAGAACCTTACATGCATGTCTGTCAGACGCGTGAAGAGGATTTTGGCCCTTTCCCTTAACTCCCAACTTAAAGATAGACACAGGGATGGTCGAGCTCTAACCCTCCAGTATGATCTCACCCTACCACCTCTTATTGCCCCTGAGACTCCAGGTGTCAGTGTCGACGAAGAACTGAAGCATAAATGTAGGTGTCTTGTCCCGTATAGTCAGTCGCATGGTAATTAGCAGTCTGCGGGACGAAAATCCGCTCCTTAGATGAGAGCAAGGCAGTCACGGATCGCTAGTCAAATTAGCGGAAACGCTGGACACAAACTGAGTTGTCAGTAGTAAAGTCATCATTCACACCAAGCGCAGTCACTTAATGCGGAGACATAGCGCGGATTCGAAAAGTTAGTGGATGGTTTCTAGATGTTGATGCCGAAGGCTGGTTCCGCAGAACAATTTGTCTGACTTAACGGTTAGTTTGCGGAACTGACGGGAAGTCAACACCGGCGGATCCTGTCGCTACGACAGCACAGAGTGAAGTCAATAAATATTTTACCTATTTCGTTGACTCCAGCATTGCAGGAGCGTCATCTGCCTACTTATCAGACGGCACCTCGATTAACTAGTTGTAGAAGCCGACTACATGAGAGGTGAGGCTGTAGGTGAGCAAACGTGGGCATCCGAACCCATGGAGGTGCCGGTTTTCGCATTATGCAACCTGCTATGAACGCTGAATTTGCTGGGGACTTCTTTGAAATGGCGGTTTGTATTATAGTACCTAAACTACCGCGTATGCAGACGCTTATGATGAAACTGGAAACTGGAGCATGTTACTACATCGAAAATCAAGACTAATGAGGCTCGTCAGGGGATCGCCTGAAAAATCGTTTGACTCCGTCTCTGTGTCAGCCATTGTCAACGAGTGGCAAGACGCAGCGACAGAGTTTAGCAACTAGATCGTGTAGCTGCAATCAAAAGTCGGTCTGTAGCTGGGGGTCAAGCGCAAAAGAAAATGACGCTAGCCGTTCACTGACTGACTCCGGTGCAAGCAGCACTTGGCTGCTCTGTTCCAAAAGTGGTCGCCGCGCGATGTTTGCGAGCGGAATTTTACGGACGAGTACGGTACAAAACAAGGTTTTGCCTCAGATGCGAATCCGAGACATCATACTGGGTGGTTTTATTCTTGATTTGGTATATATATCTTCGATATATCTTCGTTTCATTGGACCTATGTAGGAATAAAGATCGGTTGCAACAGACGGTGCAGCACTGACCGCAAGTTTGTCAGGAAATCTGTTCCACACGGTCTCGGAAAGTGTCTGCGGGGGCGATCCCCCAGAAGCCGCCGATTTTCCATTCAATAATGTACTTTCTAGTACTAAGGCATGTTGAAACCGTAGAGCAAAGTAATCTACTCAATAGGTGTCTACCGCGGACAAGTCACAATATCACCTTCTAACCTAAGCCTACAGGACAGTCGATGCGCCTGGCCCCGGTTTGCTCCCTGGTAGCCATTCCACTGGCAGTCCGCGACTAATTAGACGAAAGACTTTGCCTATCTCGCAATTAATTTCGGCTGAAGGTCATTTTACTACCAACTCCCCGCTAAAGCCGCAGGTAGGCTTGTCTGTCTAGGCCCGTACAACCACTTTTAAACTCGAAAGCTGCTACGGAAATGTAAAGTGCATATGAACGACTAGTAAACGAGGCAAAAGGCGGTACTTTACCACCAGAAGCCTGGAACATGCAACAGAAAATTTTTCCTGGTTTACTTGGCAGCTCCACTTTCACGGTGAAAGCACTACAAACTCACTTCTTCTTCACTTATGCATACACCTGGAACCAGAAACTTCGCCTTATTCGTGAAAAACTATGAACTCACCTTGTCATCGTTTTTGGGAAACAGCTTTAGTGTCGGGAAGCCAGTTATTTTGATATCCTCCAGCTCATTAGCGGTGGAGTCGATCTTGGCAATAAGGATTTCGGGATGATCTTTGTAGTGTTCACCAAGTTGCTCCCAAATAGGGTGAAGTTGTTTGCAATGTCCACACCACGGGGCATCTAAAGGTGGATAAGGACAAATTTTTTAATCTGATTGCGAGACGCTCCGAGAAGCAACCACAAAGCAACTGGAGGACACCTACAGAACATAACAAACACCGTCTTCGATGGGTCTTTGGCGACTTCGTCGAAGTTCTTGCCAACCAAAACCTTGACGGGATCTTTGTCCCAGTCTTCAGGAAGCTCGGCAGACTGCAAGTATGGTTTGATTACGTGAGTCAGTACACCGTCCACAAAGGTACGAAGAGCTTCAACACTGAAATCAACAGTTTCAGGCTTGAACTTCCTGACGGAGTCCTCGAGTTCGACCACACGGTAAGTTGGGCAGTCTTTTTTGCTTATTCCGAAGAACTCAAGGATCCTTTCATGGTTTTCCACGTCGATGTCGATTATCACAGCATGCGCCTGGGGAAATGGCAGAAAGGCTCTGGCGTTAGTGATTTACACAACAGAAAGTTGGGCAAGGGATTAGTTTCAGTTGTTGATTACCCCCTACTAGTGAACGCAACCGCACATATGGGAACAGTCAGGATGAACGAGCTCTGTCAGGAATGGGGCGCAGACGGACATGGCAAAGTGGGATCCCAACAAGACTTGTCGGATTTATGGAAGGAGTAAATACATACGAAAGCTTCCGGATCTGACTGGTTTCTTTTAAAAGTACACTTATAAATGGTATAATCAGATGTTGTAAGGCGACTGACTTATTCTAGCTCCACTGTTATTTCTTCCTAGTCCTCTGTGACAAGCTTGAGTCGTGAAACTGCAAAGGACGAGCACGAAACAAACTGTCGGAAAGGTCCTATCCTCTAGCGTTAAACTGATGAGAAGCAATTAATACGGTAAATTTAGAAACCATAAGTAACATTCTAAGTTAGTAACGATGTAAAGTATGCTTACCTTGTTTCTGAATTCGAGAGCCACTTCCCTTAAGATCTTTCTGTATGGTTCGTAGTGGTCCTGGCTCTTGGCCATAAACACCATGATGTGCCATTTAATCTCACTTCCGAAGATCTGGGCTGCAGTTTCTTCGTCAAACTCAACAACCAACGGGATCATGTGGCTCCGGATAAAGCTGGTTAGTTCGGCCGCAACAAATTGTCCGTCGTATTCGACCGTAGGCTCATCAAACTAAAGGAGGAAAGTAGAGAGTGAAATTGGGATGTCCTGGTGGTGGATGTTTTGGAACCGAGCTGGGTTGTCTGAAGCAATCACTGAGAAAATTTGATGAACGGACAGGTACACAAAATACATTTCGGACAGCAAATGTGGCTAGCATTCCCCGGACGCACCACCGCTCCCATCGTGATGACATGTCCGGAAGCCTCACGATGCCAACACTTGTTTCCTACATTGGATTGAGTTCAAACGTGATAACGTGTTGGGATCGAACCCAGGTTGCCGTTATCGGGCACCATGCGAAATTCAAGTTTGGTGAGCTGTCTTCTACGGTGGAAGCAATTAATTGAGACCTAAACATGAGCCAAATCTCTAGCTTGTACTAAGACAGACAGAGGCCAATTTCCAAAATGGTGATTAAAAAAAACATTTGCGGTCGATGATCATACCTTTCTGTATATCACGACTTTTGTGCCAGATGACAGCTTGTGTTTGTCCGCCATCTTGGAGTCGGTGCAGAGAACAAATGGGACATCCTGTGCCCTCGCAACCTCTTCAACGGTCTTGTATTCTTTCGACGAAGTATCCTAGGCAATTCTTATCGTCCGTTAACAATACACTTACCTTCGACAGAACAAGGACAACGAATTTGTTCTTCTGACTGAGCTCATCGAAGGCCTCAACTGTTGCGACCTCAGTGATGGCCTGTCCGATCTTCTTTTTCACCCACGCCACGATGCTTTCGGCAGTACGCCCACCATTGTATTCGATTTCTTCGCCTTTCGCGAAAAATTTCAAGGTAGGATAGCCCCGAATCTTGTAAGTTTCGGCCAGTTTAGTCTCCACGGTTGCATCAACCTTGGCCAATTTTACCGTCGACTTTTCATCCACAAGCGACTTCGCAGCCTTGGCATATTCTGGTGCCAAAGACTGACAATGCCCGCACCACGGTGCATCTAACAATAAGACAAATCAGAAATGGCAACGTACAGAATTTAACAAGAACGAAGTCATTCGAATCGATCTCGTTGCGAAAGTTCTCTTCTGTCAGAACCAGCACTTCACCTTCCTTCTTAACTTCTGCAAATACAAAACCAGCAAGCAAGAGCACGAGCGCAGAAGCCACAGACCCAGCCATCCCGGAGAAAGCAGTGAACAACGTCAGCAGTATATGTGTATTATTAAGTTAGTACGGTAAAACAAATGAGAGAACGTAATTGTGCGCATTGCGCATATTGGACTTTACGATGTCATTTCATATAAATGTTCGGAGGTACAAACCTTTTCGCATCAAAATGTAGAGCTGATGGTGCTGGCAAGTTTCACTGACCCAAGTGCACTAACTCCTGATTTCGTCATCCCCTTTTTGAAGTTCTGATTCTTTCTAGAACGAACCCTGAATCTCAACGAGTTGCCAGTGTTTCGTTATCAAAATGTTCAAATGTTTAAGCATGTTTTATTGGCCTGAAGAAGTCCAGCGAGTGGGGTAGCTGACCGTGAATTAAATTATGTCGTTTGAATTGGGCATGAGATTCGGACTAAACCCGAAGGCACAAAACACTCATCATTGAAATGCAAGAAGACAAAGATGGCGGATCAAATTCGATATAGAGAATAAGGAGTGGCGTTAGAAATCAGCCAAATAACAAAGTCGGTTGGTATATATAGTTGGGTGAAAAAGTGCACTGTCAGATTGTCACATCAGGGACGCAATTCACATGGCGACATTCAATGCGGACGCAGAAAGGGAGACTCTAGGAAATTTACAGCTCACCAAATGGTCTGTTCCGAGAGGCGTAGTAGCGATTGCTGTAACTGAGCACACAGACAAACTGATCTTCCGCCTCCGCCTCAAGATTTTCCAACGTCCGACGGAGGCGGGAACTGCGCTACTGACCGGAAGCTAGTCCTATGAATTAAGGGGGATAAGAGGCCCGAACTAATACCTTAGCCCCATTAAGTCTGACAAGCTTATGGAGAAAATAATAAATGCGTAGCTAATTATGCATATTGGAGAGGACAACTCGCTTAATGAGCATCAGCATTGATTTAGAAGCGGTCGATCCGATCTCACAAACTTGCTCATTTTCATGGAAAGTTGGGCCGAGTCTCTAAAAATGAGTTTTTCAGTAAGTGCAGTCTGTATTTGCTTCGGCAAAGCCTTTGAAAAAGTTACACACCGGCGGCTAATATTCGAACCGCGCCAAATAAGTGTGACTTACAACCTACTCAAGATGTTGACCGAATTTCTCACGAGCAAACGTTAGAGTGTTTGCATTGGTGATGCCAGACCGGAGGTTGGAACTGCCTACAGTGGGGTTCTGCAGATATGCGTTCTGGGTCCCGTTCTGTTCTACAGATGTGACCGACTGACTCGATTGCCTTATCTGCGTAAAAGTAATGTTCGACAATGGCCTGAATGTATAAAATTCAACATAAAATCAGAGAATGCGCCGAGCTTTCAGAATAACTTGGAACGCTTGCAACCATGGTGGGAAGAGTGGTTCCTGAGCCTAAACTTCAACCAACGCCAACTCATTCGACTACGGTCTGATTACAAATAGACACTGAAATTTGAACATCAATATTCCATCGGAAGTCATCAACTCTAGCCTGCAAACGAGGTAATGGGCCTAAGTGTGTGGATGACGCCAGTCATCAGGCCTTCGCCTAACTGCTCCTGATTAACTATGTGCATTCTGCGAACGATCAGGAGATCCATCCTTCAATTCAGCGAAGAACATTTTGATCGATTATTTGGGATATTTATCCGGCTAGTGTAAGACAGCTGCGTTCAGGCGTAGCGCCTCTAGATGAAGCAAGACTGCACCTTTTTAGAGAAGGTTCACCTAGGGGCGATCGTACGAGTCAGCGCACTGAAGTGCCTACCTTGTCGGTGACGGCTAGAAAGGCTTGAAATTCTCCTCTTCTTTACAGACATCAGGGACGGTATGTGACCATGGTCTTCAAACTCGTTAGAGGAACGGAGTGCATGCTTTTTATTGGTCGGTTTTTTGGAACTGACAAAAACGACAAATCTTCGAACCCGCGAATGCAAGTTACGTCAAACTGGAAAAACGGCTAACGCCCTCTCGCATCGGGTGGTTACGAATAGAACAAACTGCTTATTTGGTTGTTCTGGCAGAAAGATTTCACACATTTAAAAGAAGACTTGATAGCATTTCACTGAATGGCCGTCTATATGACCTACAAGGACTTATATAGTGTTCCCACATGGCTAAACAAACGCGTGCATGATCTTTTTCGGCGTATGTCAGTAAATAGGATTTTCCAAGGCTCTGTCTGCCTTCCTTTTATATACTAAATTATACCGGATATTGGAATAATAATTATGACCAGTGCCGAATTACCTGGAACCAAACGGGAATCAAAGCATGAAATAGATATCTTCACCGGAAAGTCAATACAGTCACAATTGGGGCTCGCAAATAAAAAAGTTGACCACTACCTCAATCTCTTCTCGGAATCTTTTGATGCTCTCCCTCGGGATGGTGAATGTGCTGCTGCGCACTACACCCTTCATTTAGGAGAAGCAGACTTATTGCACGACCTAACGTTGTCCAAGCTTTTCAAGCACATTTATGAAAACGAAGTTCCGACATTACTAAACTTAGAAGACAGAATGGCTCTTCGTTATTCACACGGTGGAGCGTTGTGTGGGGATATTTGAAAGGCCACAGGCAGAGCCCTTGATCACCCTATTTGTGCGCAATATGTTAGCATATTTAGACTCAAACTTAAATCGCTAGCATTTTAGATATGGATTATTTAAGCCAGGGCATTGATAACAAGGAATCGCTCCTGTTAACTGTGACTCAGTACAGAAAGAATGTGGATTACAAAGTGTTTTACAAGGATGGGCGTGGATGGTCATGTTGTGAAAAACGGTCTTTGTCAAAAATTACGCCAGCACGTTTTTTAACATGTGAATTGTATTGACAGTCACCTTCTCACCAGATAGCGAGTTCCAGGGTCACACAACTCGTCAAATGACAAAAAATTCCTACAGCCTAGCCATGTGCTTTCACTCTATTTCGAGCCGATAGAAAGATACAAAATGAACGACCTTAGAACATAACTGAGGAGGAGAACAGAAAAGGAATGTACTGGCTAAAAATAAGTAGGGGGAAAATACTGGTCAGGTGATAGTTCCTGTCGCAGACGCCTTTCACAGTCAGACGACGTGTCAATCGAAAATCCGGAGGTTAGAAGGGATGTGCTAAGACGTAAAAAAATTGTTAAAAAATTTAGCAAATTCCAGGATCTGACAAAGACATGGCTTTCTAAAGCTATTAAGAGGAACGGAGTATCCATCAGAGGTTGGGAACAATTTTGTAAAGAAGATGAGCACACGATCTATGGTACAGTAGGTGTATTGGTGTGAGATTTTGATCTCGTACAGGTGGCTATCGTCAGACACTGTGAGAAGGCGGCATCAAATCAACAGTTTATATTGCCAAGCCATGGAGAGGGAGATATGAGTACAGAGGGTGGTATTCGCGATAAGCTGAGTCCCACGCCGTTTCATGTCGGTGTGACTGCGTGCACGCTTGGCTGGTAATTGGGTCTCGCCTCTTGGCCGAGGGAACGGAACGCGTGATATCAGAGAGGTATATCGACGTGTATGTCGACGGAGCTGGTGTCAGAAACTCGGGCCTCCAGCAGTTCTTACCCTGTCTTATTGCTGGCCCCCGCCACTATCCGCGTACTCGAGAAGTTGAATTCGTGGCCTTCCTCTGGGGCGAGTAGCGACCTGAGTCAGCGGGCCGCCTCTCCGGACCGCCCGTTTATGCTCCGTTATTCCTGAGTTAAGTTGTAGCCCGGTCTGTCCTATTTAATGTCGAGGGCAGTCGCTGCATGTGGTCTGATAAACGCCACCCGATCGTTCTTCTATGCGTAGTTTGTCCTTCATTTGCATGATTTTGTTACGCATGGTCGCTGTCGGACGGTGAGAGATACCCGCGTCGAGCTCTCCAACGATACGTTCCATCGTTTCAGACACATTCTTTATGTATGGTAGACGGTACCAGAGTGTTGGCGGCTCTCCTCCGTTTGTGTGCTGTGAATGCGTGCGGAGGCAGCGGCTGACGAAGTTGTTCGAGTATCCATTCCTTGCCATTTTGTCCCGATGATGCCGTAGTCCTCGTACTCGTCCCTCTGGCTTGCTGCAGTGCGTTTTTACCTTTTGCAAGAGTACCTTAACACAGCTGAGTTTATGCGCCATTGGGTGGTTACTATGGTAGTTAGGAATCTGCGTCGTGTTAGTCGCCTTTCTGTACACCGTGGTGTTGCGTTCGCCGTTGGGTGTGCGTGTGACGAGAACGTCAAGGAAAGGCAGCTGTTCGGCATGCTGTTCTTCCCCTGTGAAAGGAACGTCCGGGAAGATGCCGTTAAGCAGGTCTTGGAAGTCGGCCAGTCTGATCCTTTCGATTAAAATACCGTCCACGTACCGACGCCGAAATGCAGGTTCATGGTGGTCGAAGGCGACTTCTTCCAGCTCCCGTAAGACTAGTTCTGCAACCAGGCTGAATATCGGTAAACCCATTGGTGTTCCTTTGATCTGCTTGCATGTTTTGCCGTTGAAGGTGAAACAGGTTTGTTGGCAGAAAGCAAAGGGTTGCAGTAAGTGGTCGATTTTCAGGGGTCTGTTCGTTTCATCGTAGTTTTCTTCAAGTCGTTTGCGTAGATAATTGCGTGCCAGGAGAGGCTGAATTTGCTTGACTTATTCTCTCTCTCTTATAGACAAATAAACTGCAGTCTACTTTGGATGTTCTGGATTGTCCGCGGTCAGGGCTGCTCATTAAGAACGGAGGACTTTTTTGAGTTTTCCCGTACAAACCAACTACACGGCCAATTCTACAAAGTCAGGAACGAGCGCACGCGGTTAGACGGTCGAAAATGTTCATTCAGCCAGCGGGTTGTTCGACCGTGGAACGCGCTTCCAAGCGAGATGATGACGGCTTACACAAGTTGCATGTTTAAGAGGAAACTTGCTCGCCTAGTTTTCGACAGAAATCGGCTTTTATAGCATGACTACACACAGCCAGTTTTGTAAAAAACTGTCATATACAATCCCTCCGCACCAATTTACAGTGACCTTATGCACTACCTTATGAT